GAAGGTAAGTTTAACCAAGGATATCAAATGCACTGCTTATGGACTATAACCTTAAGGAGGGCTGAAACACACTTCCTAACTTTGGCCTTTTGCTCTCCAACAAGGAAAAGATCAGCCTTACTGTTAAGCACAGGTAATTAGACAATGAATAAAGCAAATCCTATTATGACTCATTAGATTAAAAGAACATATAGCTGTGAATCCAACAAATAGAGTGTCTTGAGCAGCTTGACTTTTAATAATGACTTTTGAAATTGCCTTGAGAAATTTAATAGCCACATCAGAGAACCAGTCAGTGTTTAAAAAAAATTGTGTTGTGGCCAGGTGTGGTGGCTCACGCCTGTAATCCCAGCACTTTGGGAGGCCGAGGTGGGTGGATCACGAGGTCAAGAGATCGAGACCATCCTGGCCAACATGGTGAAACCCCGTCTCTACTAAAAATACAAAAATTAGCCAGGCATTTGGCACACGCCTGTAGTCCCAGCTACTCCGGAGGCTGAGGTGGAAGAATCGCTTGTACCCGGGAGGCAGGGGTTGCAGTGAGCGGAGACTGCGCCACTGCACTCCAACCTGGTGACAGAGCAAGACTCCGTCTCAAAAAAACAAACCATCAAATTTAAAAAGCCCCCAAAAATTGTGTTGCCTCATTGGATCCAAATCTTATTTAACAACTTGACTTTGATTTGGTTTTGGTTGTTTCCAAAATCAAGTATCAGATCCCACTTATGGGACCTGTATAGAAGGTATTCAAAAGTTTTCGTCCACCAGAGATAATTTCCACAGTTGAAGGAAGGCCAGAAGATAAGTTCTAAACAGATTTCGGTCAATAGTAAATTATTGGAGTGAATGCAATGGCTGCAGGTTACCAAGTTCTTGAGGGAATCCCTTTGCATATGATCCACAGCAGATGTTTGCACATAGTAGAGACTCAGTGAAGTTGCTTTTCAAAAATGTGTTTTGTCTTCAATAGCTCCCAAGTCATGATGAATGGTAGGAAAGACCCAAGGGGTAGACCCAAGACATCAGAATGTTTTCATAAAATTACATATGGAAAGCAATCATATGTAACTGAGTGCTTTCAAAGCTATCAAATAAAAACTGAGCAAACTGAAAAACCAATGAACCTTCTTAGATCTGCCATAGAGGTTGAGTCACAGGGAAAACCACTGTCCTTCCAAATTGGAGAGACCAATAGGCAAATGCAGAGGGTGGTGGCTTGCTGGCACAGAAACCTCCCAGAGAATCAGTTAGGAGGTAAAAAAACAAAACAAAAACCCGAACTACAGCTGACAAATTCCGGGAGACTGTGTGAACAAATCCAAGATAAAAATTCCAGGGGAACCCAGTCATATGGAGGCCTCCGCACTTTCATGAGTTTTACTTACAGGAGTTCAACTAGGTTCTCACAATGAATAATGGAAAAATTTCCCTTGTGCTTCCAGCAGGGGGAGGGAAAAAAGAGCCATTTTGAAATACACTGGAACATTCTATCCTTAAAAAGACTTGCTCACAGGGGAACCTAGTTAACCAGAGCCTAATCTGCTGGGGTTTTATCAGAAAATAGCTGACCTGAGGGACTAGGAATACCCAACTGCAGCCCCCTCCAACCATTGTGTTCCACTGAAAAGAAGCCTGGGGACTAAGAACATATGTAAAGTTCAGGCTCACTAAAGACTGAGACCTACTCATAGGGCTGTAAAATACTCCCTTCTTCCTGACTTATCAACACATTACTAAAGGCATATTTATAACATTTCCTTCTACCCAGCACGTCATGTCTGGCTGTCAAGAAAAAATTTTAAGTCATGCTAAAAACAAAACAAAACAAAAATCCCCACAGTGTGAAGAGACAGAGCAAGCATCAGACCAGGCTCAAATATGTCAGCGATGTTAAAATTGCCAGATGGGAAATTTAAAACAACTATGATTAAAACACTAAAGGATGAAGTAGACAGCATGCAAGAACAGATGGGTAATGTAAGCAAAGAAACAGAAATTCTAAGAAAGATCCAAGAAGAAATGCTAGAGAGCAAAAACACTGTCACAGAAATGAAAAATGCCTTTGATGGGCCTATTGTTAGACTGGACATGGCTGAGGAAAGACTCTCTGGGCTTGGGGATATGTCAATAGAAACTGCTAAAACTGAGAAGCAAAGATAAAAAAGACTGAAAAAAACAAAAAACAAGAACTGCAGGACAATTATAAAAGCAGTAACACATGTGTAATGAGAATTCCAAAAGGAGAAGAGAGAAACAGAAGAAATATTTGAAACAATAACAACTGAGAATTTTCTCAGATTTTGTCAGACATGAAGCCATTTCTAACAGGATATGTTGCCAGGAAGCCCAGATAACACTTAGCAGGATAAATGCCAAAAAACCTATACCCGTGCATACCATTTTTAAACTACAGAAAGTCAAACAAAGGGAAAACATCCTAAAGGAAGCCAGAGGGGAAGAACAACTTACCAATAGAGGAGCGAAGATAAGAACTACATCTGACTTCTCAGAAATCATGCAAGGAAGAAGAGACAGGGTAAAATATTTAAAATATTAAGAGTAAAAAAACCAATCAAGCTAGAATTCTTTATTTTGTGGAATTATCCTTTGAAAGTGAAAGAGAAATAATTTTTTAGACCAACAAACATTGAGAGAGTTTATTACTAGTAAGCTTGCCTTGTAAGAAATGCTAAATTGTTTAGAGAGAAGGAAAACAATAAAGGTCAAAAACTTAGATCTACATAAAAAAAAAATGGAAGGATACCAGAGAAAGAATCAGTGAAGGTAAAATAGAAACTTCTATTTTGTTATTCTTGATTGGTCTAATAGATAATACTTTGTTTAAAATCATAAAAGCAACAATATATTTGATTATGTATGCTTATGTGCAGATATATGTTTAGGTATGTGTATATTTAAGTGAAATGAATGGGAGCAATGATACAAGAAACAAGAGGAAGGAATTATAATTATTTTGTTACTGTAAGGTATTCATACTACCTTTGAAGTGGTACCATGTTACTTGAAAGTGGACTTGGATTCCTTGTAAATGTATATTGCAAAATCTAGGGTAAACACTTTAAAAAGTTTTTTAAAAAATGATAACTGATATGCTACTACAGGAGAGAAAATAGAATCATATAAAATACTCAATTAAAACAACAAAAGGAGTAGAAGACAAAAAGAACAAAGGCAACAAATAGAAAACAATAACGAATATGGTAGATAGAAATCCAACTGTATCAATAACTAATTTGGATTTCAATGATCTAAATACACTAAAAGATATTGTCAAAGTGGAACAAGAGACAAGTTTCAACTAAGTGTTGTCCACAAAAAGTCCATGTAAATGTAAAGACATGTATAAGTTAAAAGTAAACGATTGGTGAGAGCTATGTTAAAACTAATAAAAGGAAGCTATATTAATTGCAACCAGAGAAGACTTCACACCAGAAAACGTGATCAGGGGTGAAGAGGACCGTTATATAATGATAAAGGTATTACTTCTTCAAGAAGACATAAAAATATGCACCTAATAACAGAACATCACCCAATAACAGAACATCAAAATACACAGGCAGCACCTAATAACAGAACATCAAAATACACAGGCAGAAATGGGTAGGACTTCAGAGAGAAACAGATGAATTCACTATTATATTTGGAGGCTTTAACACCCGTCTGTCAGCAATGGACAGATCTAGCAGGGGCAAAATTAGTAAGAACAAAGTTGAACTCAACAACACCATCAGGCAATTAAATATAATACATATCTACAGACTGTTTTATTCAACAACAGCAGAATATCCATCCTCAAGCTAACACAAAACATTCACCAAGATAGGCCCACGTTTTACATTATTTCCTTCCTTCTGCTAAATTTGCACATGGTTGCTTTTTTTCTAATTTCTTTAGGTGTAGAGCTAGGTTTTTTATTTAAGATATTTCTTCTTTTTAAGTGTAGGAGTTTAACACTATAAACTTTCCTCTAAGTACCGCCTTTGCTACATCCCATACGTTTTGGTATGTTATGCCATGCTTTGTTTTGTTTGTCTCAAGATATTTTTAAATTTTCCTTTTTATTTTTTTCTTTGTCCTACTGGTTATTCCAAAGTATGTTGTTTCATTTCTACGTTTTTGAAATTTCTAGTTTTCTTTCTGCTGTTGATTTCCATTTTCATTCTATTGTGATCAGTAAAGATATTTGGTATAATTTCAATTTTCTTAAAATCATTAAGACCTGTTTTGTGATCTAAAATGTGATCTGTCATGGATAAGATTCTGTGCATTCTTGAGAAGAATGTGTATTCTGCTGCTGTTGGGTGGAATGTTCTGTATATGCCTATTAGATCCATTTGGTCTATAGCGTTGTTCACATTCTCTGTTTTCTTTTCTTTCTTTTTTTTTTTTTTTTTTGAGACGGATTTTCGCTCTTATTACCCAGGCTGGAGTGCAATGGCGCGATCTCGGCTCACTGCAACCTCCGCCTCCTGGGTTCAGGCAATTCTCCTGCCTCAACCTCCTGAGTAGCTGGGATTACAGGCACGTGCCACCATGCCCAGCTGATTTTTTTTGTATTTTTAGTAGAGACGGGGTTTCACCATGTTGACCAGGATGGCCTCGATCTCTTGACCTCGTGATACACCCGCCTTGGCCTCCCAAAGTGCTGGGATTACAGGCTTGAGCCACCGCGCCCGGCCCACATTCTCTGTTTTCTTATCGATTTTCTTTCTAGGTGTTCTATCCATTATTGAAAGTGAGCTATTAAAATTTTCTACTATTATTGTGTTGCTATCTATTTCTATTTCTTCCTTCTATCTATTTCTTTCTTGAGTTTGGTGAATGTTTCTTCTGTATCTTTAGATGCTCTGTTACTGTTTTTGTTTGCATATATGTATGTGTGTGTATATGTGTGTGTATGTGTGTATATGTGTGTGTGTGTGTATATATGTGTGTGTGTGTGTATATATGTGTGTGTGTGTGTGTGTGTGTGTGTATAATTGTTATGTCTTCCTGGTAAATTGATCCTTTTATCATTATGTAATGTTCTTCTTTTTTGCTTGTGACAATTTTTGACTTGAAGTCACTTTGTCTGATGTAAGTATGGCCATTCTTGGTCTCTTTTGGAAGTTACCATTTGCATATCTTTTCTCATTCTTTCACTTTCAATCTGTGTGTGACCTTAAATCTAAAGTAAGTCTTTTGTGGAAAGCATAGAGTTGGATTGTCTCAGTAATTCTCTGCCTTTTGACTGAGTAGTTTAGTCCATTTGTATTTAAATAAATTGTTAGTAAGGATGGACTTACTATCGCCATTTTGTTAATAGTTTCCTGTCTGTCTTTAGTGCTTTTGTCTCTCTTTTCCTCTCTTGCGGTCTTTATTTATTTATTTATTTTTCTGGTTGACATTTTGTAGTGACATGTTTTTATTTTTTCTCATTTTCTTTTGTGGATCTGCATAGGCATTTTCTTTGTGTTTAGTATAGGTCCCACATAAAACATCTTGTAGTTATTTTATCTATTTTAAGCTGACAATAAGTTCAATAACATACAAAACTCTACCCTTTGATTCTCTCCATCTTTGTTATTGGTGTCACAAATTATATACATATTTTTATATTGTATGCCAAAATTAAAAAGTCATTTATATTCCACTCTTACAGTATTGCAGTATTCTGTATTTGTTTATCTTTTTTTTCAACTTAAAGTACTCACTTTAGCATTTCTTGTAAGGCATGACTAGTGTTGAACTCTCTCAGTGATTGTTTATCTGGGAAAACCTTTATCTCTCCTTCATTTTTTTTTCTTTATTTTAATAGAGACTCGTCCTCACTATGTTGCCCCAGCTGGTCTTGGACTCCTGATTTCAAGCAGTCCTCCTGCCTCGGCCTCCTGAAGTGCTAGGATTACAGGTATGAGCCACCAAGCCTGGCCCCTCTCCTTCATTTTTGAGGGACAGTTTACCAGATATAGTATTCTCAATTGATAGTTTAAGAATATTTTAGCACTTTGACTATATCATTCCATCTTCTTTTACTTTCAGAGTTTCTGCTGAGAAATCCACTGATAGTCTATAGGGGTTTCCCGTCTGAGTTGCTTTTCTCTGGGTATTTTCAAAATTCTCTGTCTCTCTCTTTCTTTCTTTTTAACAATTTGCTTATAATATGTTTTGGTGTGGACTTCTTTATCACTAACCCTTTTTACTGTGCTGTGTTAAGCTTAAATTTCTGAGGTAAAATGGCCTTTTTAAAAGTTCCTGGATTATCATATTCCTGACCTCTTTTTTTGAGCTATGATTTGGTTGCCTCAGTAGAGTGCTCAAATCATGAAAGAAAGGGAATATTCTGGTAATGATTGCAGGAAACAGGCTATTTATCTATATGGATCTAGTGCTCCATATCAAAAATTACAATAATAGAATAATTTATAACTATTAGTAGAAAGCTGCTTCATAAAACTGTAACAAGATATTCCTAGAAAAATGACTTCTTAAATCTTATGAATAGTTACTTTATTTGGGATATATTATATAGTATTAATCTCCAGTGTATCTGTAGATATAGAGCAAATTAGGAGAAGTAAAGTGTGTTTGGACCAGGATTCAGAGGCTCTGCAGAAGAGGAAGATTTGAATAAGTGAGAAAGGTGTAAGAGAGGATCCTAGGACAAGGCAGAGTAACAGGAAGGAGCCTGTCGGTGATGAGAGTTGTCTAGATGCAAGGGAGTGTGAATGGGCTTTGGCTTGATATAGGAAGACTTTGGTGGGATGGGGTAGGAGGCAGTGTGAGTGAAACAGGAAGAAAGGAGATTACTCAGCCACTCTTCGTGAGAAGCTGCAGTGGGCAGGAAGGATGTTCTCTTAGGCTTGAAAGTATGCAGATGTCTGAAAATGTGCCAGAGGGTTCTGAAAATGAAGCCTCCCTGGGATCTTTGGTCTTTGCTGAGAGAGAGTAGCTAAGTACTTACTCTTTTCTCTCTTGACTTGCCAGTTTTTGTCTCTCTGTTGCTTCTTATTCCTTATATGTCCTTATAAACATATAAACTTGCTTATTTTTCTCGTTTTTTGTTGTTGTTTGTTTGTGTTTTTTACAAAAGCACTTTCCAAAATCGGTAATGATTTTCCTTAGGACTTCTATCTCAACTTCTATCCTAACTCTATGATCACAGTTAAGACTGTTGAAGAATGGTCTAATCTTTTTGGTAGCTCTCCTTTATCTTCTATGATTTCTTTATTTCACCGAAAATGTGCTTTTATTCTTATCCCTCCTGTGAAATTGTACTTGTTACAGTGAGCAATAACCTTTTGGATGCAAACCCAGCAAACCTATTTCTGTTGTTACACCGGTTGTCCTCTCTTCAGCATTGGACGTCATTGTCCCCTCCCACTTCCAGGTATTCTCCCCTCCCTCTTTCCAGGTATTCTCCCTGACACTGTTCTCTATTACATTTTTGGTTTTTCCTTTTACTCTTTCCTGGATTTTTCTTCCTATGTCTGTCCCTTAAATGGTAATGTTCCATCTGGTTTTGTTCTGTGGTTTATCTCATCTCAAATTACAGATTCTTCTTGGGAAAACCTATCCTCTCCAGGACTTTACCTTTGATATAGTTTGGATGTTTGTCTCCTCAAATCTCATGTTGAAATGTGATCACTGATGTTGGAGGTGGAGCTCAGTGGGAGATGTTTCAATCATGAGAATTGATCCGTCAGTGAATGACCTGGTGCCTTTCTTGTAATGAGTGAGTTCTTCTATGAGTTCATATGAGAACTAATTTTTAAAAAGAGCCTGGCTTACTTCCTCTCTGCCTATTCCTCTTTCACCATGTGACACCATGATTCTCATTTCTTTTCATCATAAATAAAATCTTTCTGAGGCCTCACCAGAAGCCAAGAAGATGCTGACAACATGCTTCTTCTACAGCTTGCAGAACCATGTGCCAAATAAACATTTTCTTTATTAATAACCCAATCAAATGTACTTCTTTATAAAAGCACAAAACAGATTAGTACAGAAAATTTGTACTGGGGAGGGGAACATTGCTGTAAAGATACTTAAAAATGTGAAAGCAGCTTTGGAACTGGGTAATGCGCAGAGGTTGGTAGAGTTTGGAGGACCTGGAAGACAGGATGATGGGGAAAGTTTGGAACTTATTAGAGACTGCTTAAGTGGCTGTGAGCAAAATGCTGATAGAAATGTGGACGGTGATGTCCAGGCTGACAATCTCAGATGGAGGTGAAGAACTGAGGAAACCAGAGCAGAGGTGACCTAGAAAAGAACTTGGCTGCATTGTGTCTAGGTTGCAGGGCTTTGTGGAAGGCTTTGTGGAAGTTCATCATTCTAAAGCTAAACTTAAGAATGATGATCTGGCTGGGCACGGTGGCTCACGCCTGTAATCCCAGCACTTTGGGAGGCCGAGGCGGGCGGATCACGAGGTCAACAGATTGAGACCATCCTGGCCAACATGGTGAAACCCCGTCTCTACTAAAAATACAAAAAAAATTAGCTGGGCGTGGTGGCGTGCGCCTGTAGTCCCAGATACCTGGGAGGCTGAGACAGGAGAATTGCTTGAACCCGTGAGATGGAGATTGCAGTGAGCCGAGATTGTGCCACTGCACTCTAGCCTGGCACCTGGCAACAGAGCAAGACTCTGTCTCAAAAAAAAAAAAAAAAAAAGAAAAAAGAATGATGATCCAAGGTGTCTGGTGGAAGCAAAGCACTCAGGAAGTTTCATGTTTGCTTCCAACAGCCTATGATCAGATACGGGAGGAAAGGAAGGACCCATGGTTGGAAATTATAATTAAAAGGGAAGCAGAGCAAAAAAAATTTGGAAAATTCACAGCCTGGCCATCTGGTAGAGAAGGAAAGAATGTTTTCACTATAGGAATCCAAAGGAGAGGAATCCAAAAAAGAGAAATCCAAGAAGGCTATGGAGCAACCGCTCGCTAGAGAGAGTAACATGACTCTCCAGGGAGCTAGGTGCTGATATTCAAGACGGTGGGAAAACAAGCTAGAGGTCTAGGAGGAAAGGATGGTTCAAGGGGCCAAGCCCTGGGTACTGCTGCCCTATGATGACTTGCGATACTGCTTCAGCTATGGCCACAGTTCAAAGGGCCCCGGATGCTGCATGGGATGCCACTCAGAATAGTGCAAGCTGTAAGCCTTGGCAGCTTCTGTGTGGTGCTCAGTCTGCAGGCACACAGAATGCAAGATTGACATCCCTAGATTTTCTGATTTGCAATTGCTTAAGGGAAGAGAAGCTTTGTTTAAAAATGTGGGGTCATCAGAAAAGAATGTCAGCGCTAGACCCTGAATGTGACTCCTTCCAGGCTCCTCAGGAACAAATTTAGAAAAAAGAATGTGTCCTATCTAAGAAACCTTTGCCTGCCCCAATGTTGCAAAAACAATGTCCTTTCCTTGTGTTGGTCTATAAGTTTTATAGATTTAGTTGTCCTGTTTAGGTCTTTGATACATGCCTAGTTAATATTTGTGTCTGCTGTGAGATGAAGATTAAAGTTCATTTTTCCTCCAAAATGAATACCCAGTGTTCTAACACCACTTATTGAAAATAACATTGCTTTCTCATTTAATTGTTTCTGCAACTTGATAAAAAAATCAATTGACCATATACCTGTGGATCTATGTCTAAGTTCTTTGTGATTCTTTATTCAACTGATCAATGTGTCTTTTTTCCAACAATCCATACCATTTTCATTACTGTAATATTGTATTAAATCTTGAAATTAAACAGTGTAAATCCTCTAACTTTGTTATTTTTTTGTAATTGCTTTGTCTATTATAGATTCTTTACATTTCTATTAAATACTAGAATTTGTTTGTTAATTTCTACGAAAAAAAGCCTGCTGGAATTTTAATTGGACCTAATAATCTAAATTAAATTAAATTAAATTAAATTAAATTTTGATTTTATTTAAATCTGTATATTAACTTCAGGATAATTGACATCTTCATACCTGTATGTTCCAATCCATGAGCATGGTACATGTCTTCATTTGTTAAGATCTTTTAAAAATTCTTTCAGCAATGTTTTGTAGTTTTAAGTATGCAGGCATTATGCAAATTTTGTAAAGT